TTTCACAGCTAGAGAGGAGAAGTCAGTGCCTGGCTTCAAAGCTTCAAAGGACAGGCTGACTCTCCTGTTAGGGGCTAATGCAGCTGGTGATTTTAAGTTGAAGCTAATGCTCACTTTTTTTGCTCGTGCCCTCGAGTTGATTCTGACTCCTGTGACCCTGTGTGCAGCAAAGTGGAACCATGCCTGGTCTTTTTTGCACCATCCTCTCATCTTCCAGTGCTGTATCAGACAATGCTCCACTGCTAATCACAGGGTTTTCATAGGCAATTTTTTCAGAAGTGGGTGGCCAGGTCCTTCTTCCTGGTCTATCTAGTCTGGAAGCTCCACTGAAACCTGTCCACCGTGGGTCACCCTGCTGGTGTTTGAAATCCCGGTGGCACAGCTTTCAGTGTCACAGCAACACGCACCTGCCACAATATGATAATGAACAGATGGGTGCTGTGGTCCCCTGACTGGGAAACAAACCCAGGCCATGGCAGTGAGAGTGCCAAAGTTTAACCCCTAGACAACCAGGGCTGGCTATAATGCTCATTTACCATTCCAAAAGTCCCAGGGCCTTTAAGAATTATGCTAAATCTACTCTGCCTGTGTTCTATAAATGGAATGACAAAGCCTGGATGACAGCACATCTGTTTACAACATGGGTTACTGAACATTTTAAGCCCACTGTTGAGACCTACTTCTCAGAAAAAAAAAAAAATTCTTTTAAAAATATTACTGCTCATTGACAGTGCACTTGGTCACCCAAGAGCTCTGATGGAGATGCATAATGAGATTAATGTTGTTTTCCTGCCTGTTAATAAGATATCCATTCTGCAACCAGGATCAAGGAGTAATTTCAACTTTAAAGTCTTATTATTTAAGAAATAGATTTTGTAAGGCTGTAGCTGCCATAGATAATGATTCCTCCAATGGATCTGGGCAAAGTAAATTGAAAACTTTCTGGAAAGTATTCACCATTCTAGATGTTATTAACATTTGTGATTCATGGGAAGAGGTCAAAATATCAGCATTAACAGGAGTTTGGAAGAAGTTGATTCCAACCCTCATGGATGACTTTGAGGGGTTCAAGTCTTCAGTGGAGGAAGTGACTGCAAATGTGGTGGAAACAGCAAGAGAACTGGAATTAGAAGAGGAGCCTGAAGATATGACTGAATGGCTGCAATCTCAGGATCAAACTTTATGGGATGAGGAGGTGCTTCTTATGGATGAGTGAAGAAAGGGGTTTCTTGAGATGGAATCTACTCCTGGTGAAGATGCTGTGAAGATCGTTGAAATGACAACAAAGGATTTAGAATATTACACGAACTTAGTTGATAAAGCAGCAGCAGGGTTTGAGGGACTGACTCCAATTTTGAAAGAAGTTCTACTGTGGGTAAAATGCTATCCAACAGCATCACATGCTGCAGAGAAATTGCTCGTGAAAGGAAGAGTCAATGGATGCAGCAAACTTGTCTTATTTTAAGAAATTGCCAGAGCCACCCCAACATCTAGCAACCACCATCCTGATCAGTCAGCAGCCATCGACATCAAGGGGAAGACCCTCCACCAGCAAAAAGATTATGACTCACTGAAGGCTCAGATGATGGTTAGCATTTTTTAGCAATAAAGTATTTTTTAATTAAGGTACGTACATTGTGTTTTTAGACATACTGTTATTGCACACTTAGTAGACTACAATATAATGTACACATAACTTTTATATGCACTAGGAAACCAAAAAATTCATGTGACTCACTTTATTGTGATATTCACTCTATTGTCGTGGTCTGGAACTGAACCTGCAGTATCTCCTATATATGCCTGTGTGTGTGTATATATATATACACACACACACACACAATGGAATATTATTCAGCCATAAAAAAGAAGTAAATACTGTCATTTGCCACAACAAAAATGAATCTGGAGGATATTATGCTGAGTGAAATAATCCAGACACAGAAAAACAAATACTGTATGATCTCACTTATATGCAGAATCTAAAATAGTAAACTCACAGAAGCAGAGAGTAGGAAGGTGGTTGCCAGGGACTTGGGGGTAAGGGAAATGAGAAGATGTTGGTCAAAGTCTCCAAACTTTCAGTTATAAGACAAATAAGTTCTGGGGATCTAAGGTACAGCATAGATCTAATGATGCTGTATTGTACACTTGAAATTTGCTAAGAGAGAAGATCTTAAGTATTCTCACCACACACACACACAAAGATAACTATATGAGGTGATGGATGTGTTAATTAGCTTGATTGTGGTAATCATTTCACAATATATACATATATCAAATCATCACATTGTACACCCTAAATATATACAATTTTTATTTGTCAATTATACCTTAATAAAGCTAACAATAAATATTCACTTTCATACCTAATTTTGTATTTGTAATCTTGTAATATTTTCCTTAAAGAGGGCCACCAAAATTGTCTAGGTCCCACAGAACCTCTCTGCTCCTGGCCTCATCAACCAGCTATGGAAAGTACAGTTACACTATGTCCTTCTTCATTCGCTAAAGCACAGGTTTTGAGAATCAGATCTGGTTGCATATTCTGGCTCCACCACTTCTGACTGTATGCCTGTAGGCATGGCATTTAATCTCTCTAAGTTTTTCCCAATCTGTAAAAAAGGGATAATAATAGTACTTGCCTCACAGGGTTATTATGAAGATGATATAACATAATGCCTCGAAAGCAGCTGCCGCAAGGTGAGCATAGTACACATAGTACACAGTAAGCATACAATGAATCAATTACTACTTTTTTGGTGTTTGGGGAGTGAAAATTCTTTCAGGAAATGCAAGTGAAAAAAGACATTTTCAGACAGAAAAAAGCTGAAAGAGTTTGCCATAAGACCTCCTCTAAAGTATATACTTAAGGCATAAGGAAAATTATCTCTGATAAAAAGTCTAAGAGTCAAGAAAGAATGAAAGTGTAAATATGTGGGTTATTCTAAATAAGCATTTACTGTATAAAACAATAATAAGAATGTCTTGTGGAGTTAAAAAATATATAGAATTAAATTGTACATCAATAATAGCCAATAAATTGGCGAGGAAGTAAATACAATTAAACTATTCTAAGGGCCTCCAAAGGAGACTCAGGTATTGATTATCTTTAGATCTTGATAAGCTGAGGTATGCATGTTTTACTTTCTAGGATAACCACCAAAAGAATAGAAACAGGGTTTATAACTTCTGAATCAGTGGAGGGAAATAAATGGAATGATAAAAAATACTCAGCCAATCCAGGGGCGTGCCCAGTGGCGCAAGCAAAGTGTGCACGCTGCACTGCGGCGGCCCAGGGTTCGCAGGTTTGGATCCCGAGCGCACACTGACGTACCGCTTGTCAAGCCATGCTGTGGCGGCCTCCCATATGAAGTGAAGGAAAGATGGGCATGGATGTTAGCTCAGGGCCAGTCTTCCTCAGAATAAAAAGAGGAGAATTGGCATGGGATGTTAGCTCAGGGCTGATCTTCCTCACAAAAAAAAAAAATACTCAGCCAATCCAAAAGTCAGCATCAAAGAAGAAAAGAAAGAACAAGAGAGATAAGGACAACCCACAAATGGGATGGTAGATTTAAATCAAAATATATCAGTAATTGCGTGAAATGTAAATGGACAAAGATTGTCAGAATAATTTTTAAATTCATACTTTTTACTATTTATAATATTAGTCAAAAGAATTCTGATGGAACTTATTCTAGAGTAAGAGGATCACTTACAATGATAAATTTATAAATGATAAAATTTATATTAATAACAAACTCAAAATGTATACACTAAAAATTGACAGAACTAAAAGAAGAAATAGACAAATCCATAATCTTAGTGGAATATTTTAACACAGCTCTCTCAGTAACTGACAGAACAAGCCCCCAAAAGTCATAAATATGTAGAAGAGTTGAATAACACGACCTAATGAACATATGTGGAACACTGCACCCAACAACTGCAAAATACACATCCTTTACAAGCACACATAGACCATTTTCAAATATTGACTTTTATATGCCAGGACTAGGCACTTTACATACATTATCTCCTCTAATCATCATAAAATTGTGAAATACACATCTGGGCTGGAAATCTTCCATTTGTCTCTTGCGACTCACCCTGTTCTCTTCTCTATTGTGCTCTGTGTCCTCTGAGGCTGACCTGTAGGGGCTGCATTCATAGACTCCTTTCTCCTCTGGCTTCTGGTTGGGTTCAGCCAGTGGGAGGCAACAGCAGAAATTGTTGGGTGAAAGGAGGGTAGGGTAGGGTGTTTATTCTCCCTGTTCCCTCCTTGTGGGGTTGCCAAGGACAGCTGCATCCGTCTTCCCCTAGCTAAGTCTGTTCCTGCCAGGCAGCACTCTCCAGACAGCTGCCCTCTCCAAGTTCTAGTATCCATTCCTCCCCATTGTTTTCTTTCAGATCCAGGGGTGGTAATGGTCCTTGCTATTCTTAGTCCTAGAGTACTCTGCCATCCCTTGTGGGTCTTCCTAAACCCTGCCCACACCTTTCCAACAGTCCCTTTACTAAACTCTCTTCAAATTACTCAGTTTGAGTGTGCCATCTGTCTCCTGCAAGGACCCTGGCTGTGTATGGGCATCCCATCTACATTTAAGGAAACATAAGCTCAGGGAGGTCAACAACATGCACGAGATCACATTACTCTGGCTGTACCTCCTCTCACAGGTGTAGAAATAAGGACAATTTCATTCCTTTCTCCCATCATTAATAAATCGTTAGCATGGTATTGGAACGTCCTTTCAATTTTAGACAATAGTATGCCCTGTCAGTATGTCCTGAATAATTTTTTAATGTGAGTTGTAACATGGCCTTTCTTAGTTTCTTAATTATAAGGAACACTGTGTCTTCCATTTCAAGTATCTTTATTTGATTGTTTGTTAATTAATTTTTGGTGCATAATGCCTTTTGGAGCAAGTTGTTTAATACAGGATAATGACCTCTGAATTTAATACCCCCATGATATTTTGTCTTCCTACTTTGCTGTTTTTCAGATCGCCATGAAGTTATCTCCAAAGAAATATTGGAGCTGGACCCATGGGAAAACCAGTGGAATGTTGTAGCCATAAATGTCCTCATGCATGACAGCTATGATGTCTGCCTGGTGGCCAGGATGAATCCCCGAGACCTCATCCCCCCGCCTTCAGATTTGGTGGAAGAAGGCAATGAGCACTGAGGTCAGCGTTGCTGTAGGGCCTCCGGTTGTGTCTGAAAAGGAGGCTTTAGGAATGGAGTGAGCCCATAGGCATCTGTCAGTCCCCCGGGACATGTGTGTTGCATGCATCGTGATCTAGTGCAAAGCAGCGTGTGGTGGGCACTGCAAGGGGGAGTGTGCAGAGTCCACCCTCAGGGACCTCCAGTTGGCTAGAGTGGGCAAGATACTGCAAGGCCAAGCATGGTGACAGCACAAGAGAAGCACGGGGTGAGTGCCGCAGGAGTGCAAGGGATGGAGGACCTCACACTGCTGGGGACTCAAGGACAGCATTGCCAAAGAGCAGGGCCTTTGGGTACAGTCCCATGGGTGGAGTTGATGGTGAGGTCACAGAAAGAGCTGAGCAAAGGCCCGGAAGACTGAGTTTGGACCTAGTCTCTGAGCAGGGGATTCATCTCAAAACAGTGTTGTTAAAAGAAGACTTCTCTTTGGGCACTGTTCTGGCTTCAGTCTTATAAAGACTGTCTATTCTCATGCAGTATACCCTTCTACTACAGTGACATTGCCCAAAACAGGGCTAGCCGTGGACTGCAAGTTCACTGCAACCCAGGCACTCAAGCCTCACCACAGCGAACAGTGGAATTCTGCCCTGGGTCACATCTGTGTCAGCGACAGCGACGCGGGCTTCCACAGGGGGTTGGTACAGAGTGTCCTGGACTGGTCTTACTCGAGCTGCCCTTGGCCAGCTCTCAAATACACACGACCTTCTGCAGGTTGACCCTGGCTGAACAAAACTGGCCTAGACCACCCAATCCAGCAATAGACCAGGCTCTGGAGTGGAGGAGAGAGAAAGCACATCCCTTTGATTGTCAGTGCCCTATCTGACCCAGACTTTGCAATATCTTTCCCAAGTTTGGAGAGTAAGGATAGAGCTGCCTGCTTCAGCCCACAACTGAGCATAATCAGAAAACAGCCATTCCCAAAATATATTTTAGTGACAACATTTAAACACGTAGAAAATCATCTGTTATTTTACTTACCATCTATACTTCTGGAAGCACAGTGGATTCAAAGAATCCATTTTAGGAGTTGTTCTTCAACAACTTCTCAAGAGTTTCATGTTGAATGAGTCTCTTTTTTAAGCGGGAGTGGTCAGTAAAATTCCCTAGAATTTTCTCAGAGGGAGACAATCCTAGACTGTAACAGCTCTTCTTTGTCACAGAGCTGTGTGACTGTGCTGACCCTTAGCCCTTGTCCCCAGGTTCCAGCTGTTAATCTAGGCAGGAGAGGCAGGTCCATGGAAACAAGCCAGGTGGAAACTTGCTTCTGCCACCATGAAGGGGGGACCACTTAAACCCAGGGGTGGCTGTCCCTGAGTAGGTTAGACTCTGTGAGGGCTGCGGCCATGTCTGTCTCTCTGCAGTTCTACCCCAAGTACCCATCGCAGTACCTGGCACATGGATGGATCTTTGAGTGGCCAGCATGGGGTAGCATTTCTCAATTCGAGGCTTGGTCTCTGAGCATGTCTGGGAATCTGAGTTAAAATGAACTAATTCTTTCCCTGGTGAAGGGTCATAATCTTGGATTCTTTTCCTTGTTGCAAAGGCGGAGCAGTTGCCCTCAAGTGGGCTGTGCTGGCTGATGGCAGCCATGGTTGAGGACAGACCCTACAGCTTCCCCAACTTCCTCTTAACAGAACCATGCACTGGCTCCACCTACTTGAACATACTAGAAGCTGTCACATTTCCCTGGATCAAGGAGGCCTTGTTGGCATGTCATGACACATTTCTAGATGAATTGGGTCCAAGATCTAGGCTCTAGTCCCAGCTCTGCTACTTAGGCAAGATAACCTTTCTAAACCCTTATTTTCCTCATTTGCAGAATGGGAAGAAAAATACTTTATAGGGTTGGTGTGAAGATTGAGTGAGAGAGTGCTGAGCAAAGTGCCTGTTAGACACTGAACCAGTAAACATTCTTTAGCTGCCATTATTTTTATTATCATTATCATTGTAATCAGCATTTCCCAAAGCATAGTGCCCAAAACAACCAGACGCAAATGCTTGAATGAAATCTCTTGGGATTTTAGGGAGAAATGTCCGTATTATTTAGATGGTTCTTAATTTCCCAGCCCCAGCCCCTCAGCTCTCCATTTGGTGTGCTGACCAATAAGGCAAAGTTTGCTTCAGTGTTTACTCTAAGCCCTGGCTGCTGCTTGTCTGACTGTCGTATTTGTAACTGAAAACAAACCACCCCTGCCGTCCCGTTGTTAGATATTGTGAGAGTCACCTCTGAAACTACATTCTCCAGTCACTCTTTTGTTCACTTTAATTGAAGGCTGTCTCAGTATTGCATGGAGGACTCATAAAACTTTGACTATTTGCTAGTTCTTATCTTTGTGAAACAGCAATGGTTTGACACTGAGCTGCAGAACACAAGAGGGAAGTGATCTGGATGCTGAGGCTGATGGAAGGCTGCAGCTGCCGGCCACCCCCGGTTCAGTTTGTGCTCATCGAGAAAGCGTCATTGTTCTCGCTGATTAACTTTATAGTGAGCAAATGCTTTAAATTTGAATGTATAAAATATAATTTTACTAATAAAGGATTGTTTTTGTTTTGTTTTTCATATTGCAACTCAATGTAAACCTCATCTGAAGAAGGGGTTCTCATGCCTCAGAAGTGCTGAGAGTCAACAGAGTGGGGGGACTGACCAGCCAGAGGATCATCAGGAGCAAGGCCCAGAGGCCAGGACATGTGAGGTGGGGGAGGGGCAGGAGGTCCCATTTCCAGGGTGGCTAAAGCACCAGAGGATGTCAGGGACGGGAGGTGATGCCAATCACAAAAGACCTCGAGTGACACGCCAAGGAGTCGGCCTTTATGCCTCAGCAACACACTTTCAGGCAAGGAAGTCCTTTAAGCACATCCCTCCACAGCCCAGTGTAGACGAGCAGGGTGAGAGCAGACATGGGCAGACAGGCAGGAGGCCTTGCAGGAGCCGGTATCAAGGAAGCTGAACCATCCTGGTGGCAGTGGGAACCGTACAAGTCCTGTGCAGCCGGAACTGGAGGGGGTCAGCAGTTTGCTGGCCGATTCAGAGGAGGGAGATGGCAGGAGTGTGACCTCAAGAGAACGGCCAGTCAGCCAAAACCAAAGACCAGAAAATATTTGAAGGGGTCCCCTCCACCTTAAAGTGTTCCTTAAAGACAGCCACCACCCAGATGGCTTCAGCTGTTCACCCCAGGCCTGGCTGGAGGCACCAAGAGAGAGAAGAGGCATTGGGGTATATTCAAGTCACCCACTTCCTTGCCAACCCTAGCAGACCCGGCTTGATGTGCCCCCCTCAGCCATTCCCCTATTCTTTCCATTGACAAAGACCCTGCCCCAGCTCACTGGTAAATCCTGCGTAGCATGAACCAGCTATAGCAATCCCATTCCTTTCCACCAGTGGTTAGTTTAATACAGCCATATGGCAGAATCCTGACCAAAGAGACACAGAGGGAAACCTGTGGAGGGGCTTTTGGGAAAGGTTTTCTCACTCTTTAAAAGAGGTGTAGAGGAAGAGATGGGCTCTTCTTCTGCTGAGTCTTTTCAAATCTGGACACCCCTGGACCTGCAGTGACTGACCTGCAGTGAGGAACTAGACAGAGACTGCGGCAGTTGATCCACAGAGGGTGGTGGGATGGGGGGATGGAAAGACCCACGCGTCCTGGGTGGTGTGATTGAGCCACTGAATGAACCAGCCATGGGGCTTCTTGCTAGATGCTAACTGTCACAACAAATTGTTCCTTATTGTTCAGGCCGCCTTGAGTTACTTGCAGCCCAAGATTTCCTCGTGATACTCCAACCTTCCCCTGCCAAAGCCACTTTCTCTTGGGATGACATTTGATACCCCTACCAAAGGGGAGGGCTTAACCAGTCCTGGCCCCTGGGATGTCTGGTGACAAGGCGTTCTAGTTCCCTGCAGTGAGGTAAATTCTGCACACCCAGAGAGTGCCAATGCTTCACAATCCCAAGTCACTTCTTAGCTATTTATCAGATATTTTTCTCTCAGAACTTCAACATTTTTTTACTGTAACTCCCACCCACCACTTGTTTTTGTAAATAAAATTTTATTGGACACAGTCACAGTCATCATTTATGTGCTGTCTGTGACTGCTATCGCACCGCAACAGCCAAGCTGAGGAATTACATCAGAGACCTTCTGGCCTGCCAAGTCTAAAATATTTACTATCACAGGAAAAGTTTGCCAACTTCTGGTGTGTTCCATCAAATTTTCTTGAAGAACAATACTGAGCTAAGGGAATATATAAATTATAAAGGAATATATATATGCATATTCCTTTATTTTTACATATGCATAACATTTTTACATATATATATAACATGGTTCTAATCCATTCTTTCACACAACAAAATATCTTAAAAAAACTGTTCCATACACTCTTTCTTTTTAACAGCTGCATAGTATTCCATCATAGCTACAGCATAATTTCTTTAACAAATCACCTAGAGATAGATATTTTGGTGGTTTCCTCGAGCTGTTATTTGAAGGGGGAGGGGACTCCATTCTTTTGCTATAGGCTCTGGCACTAAATTCCAGGCTGGGGGTTGTTTAGAAGGTGGGCTTTGCTTTGATTCTCTATGGGAGCCCAGGAGCATTACAGTCAGATGCAGGAGCCTGCCTGGCTGTGCTCTACGTGGCCTCAAGCCACTTAGAGTCTTTCGGGCTTATTGAGAGACATTATAGTCCGCAGTCAAGCTAGGAAACAGACCAGTCTCCTGCAGAGAGAGGAGCACTGGGAGGGAGCAGGCAGACGCCACTGAGAAGAGACCCGGATCATGCAGGCACAGTTGCAGGATCTCATTGGAGGCCACACCTGTCCTGCGGCATCGGGAAACAGTAGTGGATGATCTCCACTGGCGTGCAGCATAGGAAAGTACATGGGTCGAAAAGAGCAACCGAAGCTTCAAGTTCAGGCCAAACACGAGGCTGTCCACCACCAAGGGCGCTTCCTTCAGGTCAGAGGCATGATTTATGGCCCAGCAGCCCCACCAAAAGCCTGTTTCTCTGCCTCCTCAGTGCTGTGGGTCTTTAGAGCAACACTCTAACAAGGAATCATGCCAATACCGGATCTGCAGCATCTGGGGGACCACACCATGAGAGAGTGGGCCAGGAGAAGGCAGGGGCAGAGAGTGTCCCCATGGCACGGAACCAACAGCTTCTAGCTCCAGATGAAAGCCACTCTCTCCCCACTTCTCCGTCTCGACTCAACATGCACGGGTGCTCAGCCCTGAACCAGGCACTACCAGGACATCCAGAACAAAGCCTTGCTGTTGAGGAGTTGCTCAGAGGACAGACACACGAGGAAGATGGAAAGGCGTCAGTAGTCAGTCAGCATGTTCTGACTGCTTTTTCTGAGCCCGGCGCTGTGCTGTGCAGAGAGACGCGACGCAAGGCCCTGCTCCTGACAAGTTCACTTTCCGGAGGAGGGAGATGTGCAAACACAGTGATGGGACATCCTATGAGGGGTTAGAGTCTACATGCACGTCAGACAAAAATGCAGTGTAGTTCACGTTGTGCCTGTATTCGTTTCCTATCACTGCCGGGTCAAATCACCACATGTTTAGTGGTTTGATACAACATAAATTTATTATCTCACACTTCAGTAGTTCACAAGCCTGACCTGGGTCTCAGTGAGCTAAACTCAGGGTGCCAGCAGGACTGCACTCCTTTGAGGGTCTGGGGAAGAATCTGTGTCCTTGCCTTTTTCAGTCTCTAGAGGCTGCTGGCATCTCTTGGCTTTGGCCCCTTCCTCCATCCTCGAAGCCAACAATTACAACGTGCTGCCTTGCTCCCGTCATCACATCTCCTCCTCAGACTCCCTCATCCACTTTTAAGGACTCTGTGATTACACTGGGCCCACCCAAATATCCAGGATATTCTTCCCGTCTCAAGGTCAGCTGATTAGCAACCTTAATTCCCCTTTGCCATGAAACATTGTATATTCACAGGTTCCATGGATTGGGATGTGCCTGTTTGGGAGAAATCATTATTCTGTCTACCACACCACCTGATGCCTAAAACTGCCCATAAAGTACATCTGTGTACAACCTGCACAGGATTTCTTGTGTACACCAAGGGTGGGGGCCACAGGGGTGACAATGGCAAGTGTAAATGCAGATGCATAACCAGTGACAGCCCCCATCTCAGAGACCCCCGCGCCATCCCCGTGGAGGGGACAGTGAGGGGAGTGGCTCCTCCTTGCCCGCAGGATTACCTCCATGCTGCTTTAGCAGCAGTCTCT